ACGGATCGGCACTGTCTCTTATGTCTGCTAAACAAAGGATAACACTAAATATGCTAATATTTATATATAAAATTAAACACAATATGTTGCCAAATTATCTGAGTGATCAGTTAACCTACACAAGTATTTTTCATACACACTCCACTAGAAATAGAATAGGAAATGTTTATATCAACAGAGAACATATAGGTTGTTACTTGTTGTATAGTTCTGGTCTGATTGCATTTAATAATTTGCCAAGTCATATAAAAAGCTGTGATTCATTAAATTCATTCAAAAGAAAATGTAGTAAATATATTTCAAGTAATAGTCATCAATAATTCGTCTTGTTTTCTAGTTTCTTGTTTTTACAATGTGACTTGTCTTTATTTTTATATATTTTTTGTTTTGTATTTTATAAGTGACTGACTGTACTATGAAGAGCATCATTTGCTAAAGAAGTACCTACATTCCATTTGATAATAATTACATCGAACTTGTTTTAAAAAAAATCACTTGAATCATACTTTAAGTATACTGAATGAAAGTATTAACTGAAAGCCATTTTTGCAATACTTTATTATACAGTAGATTTATTGTATACATTCACACCTAGACATTTATTTTTTTCCATAGGACTTAACTAATTCATATGAATAAACATATAGAGACTTTGAGAGTCATTTGAGAATATTGATTATTAAAAAATATAAGAGTGCCATTTCTGAGAATACATTCTTTCGAATTGTGTGATTATATACAATTTTTTCACGAGAATTAACACTATGTTAATATCACAGATTGTAACAGAAAACATCAAATATTATGTACATTTTGGTTAGAAACATTCAGAAACAATGATGCAGAATTGATTACTGCAGACCATTTATTGGCTTCACAATGGAAAACTATTTTGATTTGTAATGGAAATGATATGTCATACAATAATATTGTTCATCAGAGGTTCACGTGAAAATTGAAAAGACTATACTGTCAAATTCATAGACAATTATATTGACAGTTCAAAATAGTTTTCTACATTTATGCTGTAGAATGAAAAAGTAAATACAGTCATAAGATTTTATGGGCTCATTATATAAAATCCTATGAAAAACTTGCTTTTTCTTTATACACTATACACATTGATATATTGTAGTGTTATGAGTCAAGAGTACAAATATTTTCATTCGCTTCTAATTATAAGGATATTATGTCCTGATGAATTTGGATTGACTTCCTGATTTGACATATTCTTATACAGCAAATGGATACATACATAATGGAAAAATATAATACCTATTTTCTATATCAGTGTAATGTCGCCTTGGTTATTATAAAAAAGTACCAATCATTCATCTTTACAAGATTTTAATATTTGGGAAGTCATATACTGAGAGAAATGAGAAGATCCATACTTTTGACTCACCTTTCATAGACATTCAAATAAATATAAGTACAACAACTCCATAAATCAAAACAATTTTCATCATTTAATGATGATGATACCCTGCTTCTTTCCATAAAAGCTATATATTTCAAGAACAATCAACATGATGGGAGAGTATCTATTATGCACTGACTGTCATTTCTGTAAATAACATTTTGAATTAATTTTGAAAAACATATTCCGAATGATATCATTTCGCACTCCAGTTCCCTAGTTCCACAATTCTCTAGAAATGTTTTGAAATGCTGAATATCTCATTCCGTCTATTCACTGCATAATGATTGGAAAATTAAATAACTTTCATAAATGAAGCAAATGAATTTTGATACTCCACATTCAAACAATACATGAAATGAATTATATCAAGCTCTAACTAGGGTTAATATAGGAATGTAGGCTTTCACGACTAGCGTCAATGTTTTGGTTGGTTTCCAGGTTTTGCCATAGTCTTCTTTGGAAATTTTATCAAGTCCTTGGAAAAACAAACTAAGTGCTTGAAAGAGAATATTGAAGAAACTTCCCCGAAACACAATAAAAAAACCTTACGGCAATGNATCAGGCTTATTAGCTTGTATGAGCCTGAGGGTGGGGAACGAATAGTTCCAATAAATTCGGCACTTCTCGTTTCCCACAACTGATTCAATATCCCCCGGAGCGTAGGGCAACACCGGTGTCTCGTCGATACCGTAAGAGTGCCGTAGATGGTAATATATCACTCTTAGGGCCGCGTTATGTCGATGGATATAGGCCGAGCCCGCATATGCTGGACATGCTGATAGCAAGTACATTAGGGTCTCGGGCGCCTCGCGGCAGGAACCTCTATACCCATCACGCGACTGCGGTAGACTGAGGTGTTGAAGGCACCATCCTGGCAAGCCATGATGAACCCCTCAGTTTCCGACTTCAGCCCTCTCGACCTGAGAAAAGCGAACGTCAGGCGCTTTGATAAGCGAGTTATCAAAACTTTATGTGTGTAGGTAAGAAGGTGTAGAGTTCTAAGTTTCTCAACATTTAACCATCCTGATTCTTGTATTATTATATAGTATATATTATATTATATATTTAAGTACCCTCATGGACAGGGTCTTCAGAGAGCCTATATGGGATAACGTATTCTCAAAATATTTGTTTAAATTGTAATATTTCTTATCCTTCATACCAGTGTAAACTGATCTCACTGTAAATAAATATTATTATTGTTTTATTGAACAACAATGACCGTATCATATAACTATGATTCGTTTGAAAAAGTACAATGAACTATCCAATCACATAAAAGATGCGAAAAAAAGTAATGAATTTAAAACTAGTATTGTTATGCATTTAATATCTAATCACTAATATATGATCAAATATTTTACTATGTTATCATTATATATCGATTCATGTTTACGGACCTATATACAAGTTTGTAATATCTCCTTTTGTTATTATTTTTTTTTCTTATTTCAATTGTATGTGTATAAGGATAGGTTTTCTATTCAATGAAGATGCATTCATTCATTGGAATGACTTAATATTTCTATATCAGCAAAACATCTCCCTATTGATAAAACATGTTCCAAGTATAGGTATATGATTTCAGTTTCAATTTATTATTGCTTATTTTATGTTCCCGAGTGAAAATTAAAAAGTCCTAATTTTAATCAGTCCAAAATCAGAATGAAACAATATTTCGATCCCAGATGTTTTTACAGTGTAGAAAAGTATTTACAAAATAATTTCTGATAATATCATAGTTTCCCCCCCTTTTATTTTTTAAACACTAACAATTGAAATTTGGGATAATGAAATTAATGCATGAATACTTTATTTTGAAGTGGAATAAACAGATGAAACTTTCAAGATGGCGACTGGGCGCCATCTGGAAAAAAAATTTAATGGAAAGGGGGGTCTTGTGACACATCTTTTTGAAGCTCCTGACAAATGCTTCACAACCCTAGAATATAACGTCAATATCTTCAAATACTACAAAATGGCGGAACTTTCAATAATTGCTTAAATAATACATTGACATTTAACTACATAATATGAGGTAATAAGCTTGAAANAAGTATCGTTGCTGTATCACATTATGTACCTATCGTAGTTCTGTAATATATAAAATCTGCATGGCCACAAAATACCAATAAAACGACTTTGATTATCTATTTCAAATATTTAACAATCATTGAACGACGTGAATGCAAACAAGCATAAGGCAACAAGGGTAAAGTAAGACCAATCGCAAATAAAGAAATCGCAACGAAGCTGTGACTTTGTGCTCTTATCAACCATAATATTACCTTTCAGAAATTTGTTTATTCTTCTTTGGAAACACGCTGTTTTCAAGGTGCAGCGTTGCGTTGACTTCTTTGTTGGCAGCACAAGTGCATGCTTTCAAGAAACTCTTTTTGAAGTTGTCGCTCAGAAATGCATAAAGTATCGGATTTACAGCTGAATTGGAGTAGCTCAGACACGAAACGAGGACGTGCAATGTCGTCGAAAATCTGAAAAATAAGTTTTTATTCAATCTTTGCTGTAATGCTGATTTCATAATTAATGATCATTCATAATTCTGAACTGGGGAATCTCATTTTGATTCGTGAATGAATGAAACGTATTTGAGAAAGCTATACATTTTTCTAGACTGTTTTCACTGATTCAATTTTTCCATCCTTTAGAAACTAATTATAACATGTCAAACTTTAATTGCTACTGCATCTTAAAAAAAAAACAAAAAATATTCGATATCTTATCAAGAAAAGATGAAATGGAAAAACTAGCATGAGGATGAATCTTGATACTCTCAACCCCTACTTTGGAGTATGAATCTCTTTGGAAATGTTTGGCTTAGCAGATGATAGTTCCATGGGTGTGAAGAACTGATTGAACTGACGAACAGTAATTGAAATTTTCTCAGTATCGTTTCCCCTAGCAGGGAATATTTAATGGATTTTGAATCTATCTGCACTTGCACAAAGACTTCTCCAACTATAGCTTTTGTTTGTGCCGTAACCGTTTCCTAAACCGAAGTTCTATGGGACCCAACAATGTCTGGTCAAACATCCGATCAGGAGGCTCTCTTATTCGGGAAGGAAATAGAAATGTTTTGCAACGTTTAGTTTGTGTTACTTTTATTTTCTATAATTTTTGAAATAAATCCAAGAGAACTCAGCTCATACGGGTCACCATTCAAACCCTTTTGTGTATGGTTAGTTGGCAGCTCCCAATGAATGCGGAATTTTAAATATCTCACCTTCCATTTGTCCGATGACTGATGTGAATTCGATTCGATATTCGATATTTTTTCCTGCCAAGGCAGATGTGCCAAGGTGGTTGTGAAGGGACACAGTTTTTGGATTTGAATTCTTCTTCCTGTTGAAGTTGATAATTGCTCTTCCTGAATTGAGTAAAATAATATTCTGGCTATTTTGTGAACTAGCCCTGGAAATTCCAGTTTTCTGCTTAATCAAACCACCAGGCTTCCGGTTTTTGATAGATAAACCGTTGGGTACCCTCTTTAGAGGTAAGTCTTTGATAAGCTCCAGAATTTGGTAATACTCTGGATACCTTTTTGTGTTAGGTTTGCTTTAGCTAAAATTTAATTTTAGGGTTGTAGAATGACATCAGGTGAATAAGTAGTTTATGTTGAAAATAGTGAATCAATTCACTTTGCTGTTGCATATGCTATTACGTCCAACTGGGCTAGAGGCTAGAAGTACAGATCTTTCTGATCTTTCCTTTTCTTCAATTGTAGGGAAAACGTCTTTGGTGGTGTCCAGCTAGATAGTGTAGTACCTCCATTTTAATGTTATGTGAGGAGGACCAATAAGGCCAGAACTTATAATTAATTCAAACTTATAATGTTATTCTGAACCTATTTCAAATTTTGATAAAATGAACCTAAAGGTGAAGTGCTACAAATAAATCTCTATAAAAATCTTGTTTATGATGTTATAATGTTGTAAGCTGATGCATAGTACTATGGGTAAGCATTTTTCAGTTTAAACTGAAAACCTCAAATTTTGTTCACTTCTTATCGAGATGGTACAGAAAAACAAAAATTTATATAGAATCGTTATAAAGAATGTATACTTACAAACCATCACTGCCATTTAGTGCAAGTTGTGTTATCCAATACGGCAACCAACAAATGACGTATACGGTGACCACCGTCAGAACCAAATTGGTGACTTTTCTATGCGACTTTTTCTTCTCCTTCGATCTGTTTTTTGGTCCCACCGTTTTGAGTTTCTTTATGACCAACCAGTAAAATATCAGAATGAGGCTTAGAGGTATAGCAAAACTGCAGAAAAAAGTATACAAAGTGAATATTTTCGGACCAACAGGTTCTGCTTCCAAAGTTTGGTTGTCATAAGCAGAATAGTTGAAATCAACATATGAGCTGTCGTTATAATCGTCATAATAGGTGGAGTTGTCATCATCATCACACCATTCGATTACACATGACTTTCTTCCGTCGTATTCTACTTCTGAAGAATATTGGATGATGGGAATTATGAGAACGATGCTAAATGTCCATGCTAGTAACGACACCACTTTGGAAATGAGGGGTGTTCTCCATCTTGGGGATGATATGGGGTGACAAACGGCCATATATCTGTCGGCGCTCATGATGCAAAGTAGAATAGAGCTGGTGAACTGATTGATACTGGTTGATATCATGTAGGCTTTGCAAGCAAAATTTCCGAATATCCATTTACGATGCAGGATGGTAGCTATTAGAAATGGAATTCCTATGAGGAAACATTCGTCTGCTATGGCCAAATTCACGATGTACATGTTCGTCACAGTTTGCATCTTTGAGAAACGGATGACGACGTATATGACTAAGGTGTTTCCTACTAATCCAACCATACATACTATTGAGAAGAGGATAGTCTGAACTGTTTGAAGAATTACGTGAAAGAGGTTCTCACCGTCATACCCCAAATCTGTGGAGTTTGCAGTTATATTCAACAAAGCAGTCATTTCGTTTCAGAACATACATGAAATAGTTCGTTGAATGCACGACACCTGAAAAACAGAAAAATACATAATTATTGAGAAACGTGAGTTTGGCGAAATCACTATGCATGGGCTCAGTGGCGCACTCAGAAAATAATTGAGGGGGGCTGACCCTGGGCCAACCAACGGAAAACTTTTAATAAATTCCTTAGAATAATCGGTATTTTAAGGCAATACTTTAAGTTTATTTAAGCTCTATACATGCAAGTTTTGAGTAGGGACTATAGGAATGAATGATGAAACCCACCAGATAAAATAAGATTTTAGGTTTTATTTTGACAAACTCTTTTTATATCAGCTATCTCACAAAACAAAATTGAGTCTTCTTTGGGTCTTCGTCGGTATGGATAATACATTGTTTGTGTCAACTGGAATTTACCTGAGGATATTAAGATTGGCTAAGCCACTTAGCCTACTCTCAGGCATCGTGTTTCTTAGGTATGTCATGATTCTCCGAAGAGTGGAAAAGGAGCGCTCTGCTGTGCTGGTCGATACAGGTATGGTGATGAAAATCTTAAGTAGGATATGGATGTTTGGAAAGATTGTTTTATCACAAATATTTAGAAAATCAATTGCATTGACGTGGGGTGCTTTGTTTCGTTTGAGAAAAGCTTGCCAAACTTCCATTTCTTACATAAACACGTTTAAGTTGTTGTTTTCCAAATCTTCTTCATAAACTTCAATTAACTTCAAAAACGCCTTTTTCATCTCTTTACTTTCTCCACTATTCTCTGGATAAGTATGAAGCGAGCAAAGAAACCCTTTTAAAATGTTCTTGTGCTTCAAGAGACGTTCTTCGATGTAGGAAATAAAACTTTCTATCCAGGGGATGAATACGTTAATTCTATAAAATTGTTATGTGCTTTCCTGATACATTGCTTCTGTGTGTCTGCCCAACACCAATAGTAGTTTCATTCAATTCGGTCATTTTTTGTGTCTCTTGAAACAAGACTGAAAACTCTTCATCAACTTTTTCTCTTAGTGACTTCATACTCTGAAGTACATAGCCAGAATAGTTCAAAGCAGCCCAGAGATCCGCATCACTTGACTGTAGCTTTTGACACAATATCAAAGTGTAGCCGAGTAGCTTTTAAGCTGATACTAGAGCTACGATATACTTTGACTGAAATATACCTGTCAAAAGGACATCGACCCCTAAAGATGTGTTCTCATCATCCCAAAACTTGATTTCTTCTAGCGATGAAATGATAGAGTTGTACAGCTTCTTCATGACGAGGACAACATCATGCCTTTGAACCCATCTTCTTGGGCATAGCTGTTTGAGTTTTTGTTTCTTAGTTTTTAGGGCTAGGGTTTCAATTTTTCCACGGAGAACATTTTGCCTCTTTGGTGTGTTAAAAAAAGACCACATTTTTTCAGCAGTGCCAAAACAATTTCTGACCTCTGCAGCATTTGTAATGGCTGAGTTAAGGCTGTGTGACGCGCAGTGTACATATATTGCCTTCGGGCAACGTTTCTGCATAGCAGCCTGAGCACCTTTGACCTTTCCGCTTCGACCTTGTCCTCTCAAATCTTTTATTTCAAGATTGCACTCTCAAGCCCTTTCAACAGTGTTTCTCCAAGTACTTCGCCAATCGTTGACTCTAGAGGCATAAACTGCAACAACTTTTCATTAATCTTACAACCATCTTTTGTGTTATGAGAGACATACCTCACAGACAATGAAACCTGTTCTTGAGACGACATGTTTGTAGTCTCATCAGCTAACACACTAAAAAAAGTAGCATCTTTAACATCTTTGACTATGTGACTTTTTATTACTTTGTCACAAGCATCAATGATTTGGTTCTGGATGTTCCAGCATATATAAGGGGCATTTTAACCACATGACTTGAAATGGTCTCTTAATTTTTCATCATCTGCATCTAAGTTGAAGTCTCCATAGTCTCTGAGGCCTCGAAGAGATATTCCCTGTCGTCCACAAAAAATTACCTTTTGTATTTTCTTTCGCCTGATTGGCTTTGCCTGCATCTGAAGATTTGTCTATAGGATTCATCTTCCCTTCTATTACTGTTTTCAAATTGTTGAGAACGATCATGGCATGTTTGTGGTATTGTAATTGAGAATGTGACTCGAATTTTTCAATAGCTTTTTTCCAATTTTGGAATTCTTCTGAGACAAGCTGGCCTGTTTTCTGGGATGATCTCATACCCACTTCAGTTGGAGCAAAGAGTACACAATAAGTGCAGTAAGTCCGGTTTTCTATCTCAGAGTATGACAACCACTTATACTTTTGCAACCAGGAATACAAAAACTTCCTTTCCTGTTTTCCATCAGTCGTCGCTGGAAAACAAGTTTTCCACAACATGTAACTTCTCTGTGACCGATAACCGTTTGTTTTTGTTCAAAGAAATATCCATTTTACTGCTGCAGTCTATGTTGACATTGTCTAGTGTATGGCTGGAGCTTGAGGCTGAGGTACCAGGTTCATTAAGAGCAGGACTAGTTAATTTCTTCCGATCAGGCTCTCCAATCTAAAAAAATTATTAACCGCCGTTAATGTGAGGCGAGCTAAGAAGTTCGTGTCAAGTAAATATTAATATAATATATACACTTACCTTTGCGCCGCTGGTAACACTTTCATTTTAGCCAAAATAGTCCGTTGAAAGCGTGCGAGCTGAGGACCAACGAGGTCTTACCTTTCAACGTGTGATTCCTAACACGGAATCGAAATCGGAATGGTTCTTCAACATACTGCACTTGACTTTTCAAATTCGCAATTTTTTCAGCCGACAACTGACCAGTTTTTTTTTCAATACTTCCAATATCAACATTATCTGGAGGGGGTGTATGTGAGTTTCGAATAAAGTTCACTTCTTTAAAAGGAGTGTTGGGATTATAGTTCTCTTTATACCTACAAGTATGATCCATATTTGCAGACACGTATCCTTTTTTTCCGTCTCTAAATGGAACGGTTTCATTTAGAGTGTTTTTTCTACGATTAATTAAATTCAACTCAGTGGCTAAATCATCAAATTTCCTGAAGTGTTGAAGCATATCTCTAATGTGACTCTTTTTACTTGATTGGCTCATTATAGTTCGATAATCGTCAGGTAAGTATATTTTATGTTTTCATGGCGACGTAAAACTTTTTCAATGCGCCCAAAATCGCGATCTGAATATCAGGTACTGGTATAAACATATTATTAAAAAGTTTTTATTTTGACCTGCACATGAGCCAGTCCACAATATTACGTGGGGTATGGATTTGTTTGGAAAATTATATTCTAACATTGTTAATAATGCGCTGCATACTTCAACGCTACCGCGATGCGCCATATCCTCAGTCCATGTAAAGAAATTTGCTTTATCTATATGTTCAGTAATAGAATGGATACCCAAGTTATACATTCACATTTGCCGTAAATAATATGCGCTTCCCCAGGTGACGGATAGGGGAAAGGCCAGGGGACTGGGGGCCCTGTCCGGGAAGTCAACATGTGGCCTTACGGACGGGATTACCGAACTCCTTGTCGGTGGCAGAAATGAGTAGGGTGAGGGGAACTAAAACTCCCCAAAAGCCTTTGCGAAACATGCCACCGTGGACAAGCTTACCCAAACTAAGGTGTGAGGAATCGTGCCGATAGCTGAATGGTCGCAGGGTGATATGCGGTTACATACGATTCCCTTGGGGAACCGGGCGAAACCTCATTGTAATCAGCCTTTCTCTGGTAATGCCGGGCTCTGCCAGAGGTTACCAACTCTCTCCTTGCTACTCGTAGGAACACACATATATAAAACAAACAAAACAGACACAACAGACACAACAGACATTTCTGTCCGAGGCTGGACAGAAATGTCCACCTCAATCTTCCGCTCGGAATTAGGCTGGACAGAAATGTCCACCCCAATCTACCGCTCGGAATGATGCTGGATATAGCAGATCACCTCTTGATGTAATACAAAGGCGGCGCATTTGCGGCGCCGAGGCCAAAAGTAGAAAGAGAGCGAAAGAGACAGGAGTGACAGCAACTATAAGTGCACCCTCTTCCTACTCCGCCCCACCTCCAACAGCAAGGGCCCTTCTTGCGGCGGGCGCCAAGATATCCGCCTTGAATAAAGGCAAGGAATCGGCTGCCCCTGCAGGAAAGCGCCCTCACTTGTGCATCTCCACTAGGGGAACCCCAGGAAGGTTGAAGAAGCCGCGCAACGACTGAAATGTCGCTGCACCTTCCAAAACCTTCGCGAAGACCGCCGTGAGATACCTCAAATTTGCCAAAGAGAGTGTGTGTTCGGCGAGTCTTGGCCTACACCTGCCGATATGAAGGAGATGTTTCCTGACCTGACTTGTCCACCTTCTTGGAAAGGACAGGATAGATCAGGGGTCTCCAAACTTTGAAGCCTTCGGGCCATAATGATTTTTTCAGTTTCTTCTAAGGGCCAATTAACTTAACTATATTTCTAGACTAGGATAGTCGCAAAGTGCGTGACCTAAGCAAACTTGCACTTGCGCTTTTTTTGCATTTCAATTATTATTGTGTATTGTGACACTTAAAGATATCTTGTGGCGAGTAGTGGAATTTGGAATTACCGCGTTGGTTCGAGAAAGTTCTGGTCCTAGCTAGTGTATTCTGTTCACCTCGAGATGGCAGTAATAATAGCATATAAAAAGGCTAGCGGCGCAACTGCGAGTTAGTCTGCGTAGGAAAGGCGAAGGAAGCGAAACTGTCTATTGTGAAATAAAGTAACACCCGTCAATAAAAGTATTTTGATTTGACTTATTGTTTTTATGTGTGATTTGTTAG